GGTTCGTATAATTGTACTTGTCGCATGGGCTATGAGGGCAATGGTTACAACTGTACAGGTAACGTAAATATTATAAATTATCCGTTTATTAAAACTATTTGTTATGTCCTTTTTAAAGAATATATTTTTCCCTTGTTTTCTTTCCCTAAGCCAAAATCTCAACGCAGTGATATTCCAACTGCTGTTTCGAGGACAGCTACCTTGCTCACATGATTACTTTAATTCCTTTGTTTGATCGTGTAGTTCTTATTTGCACATGAATTATCCAACCTACCTAAGTTAGAGAAGGAAAGAGGATTTTACACTCTTCTTTCGTTTGTATATGTTCACCATGCCATGCATATATTCAGCCTCTTAATAATTAATAAAAAAAATCTTCGGGAAAAGTGCAAAAAATGTGTACAAATTATAAGAATTAAACTCAATGTAATCCTTGCGAACGTCGTCTGTAATATATTTCTAGCTATGAATAAATGTGAAACAAATCCTTGTGATGTGAATGCAAATTGTACCAATATTGATGGTTCATATAATTGTACTTGTCACATGGGCTATGAGGGCAATGGTTACAACTGCACAGGTAACGTAAAAATAGAAAAAACCGCATATTCAACATTATTTGTTTTATCCATTGTCAAGATATATTTCTCTCTGGTTCCCTATCGCAAAGCCAACATCTGAACCTGTGCGATATTTCTACTCCTGTTTCCCCGACAGTTACATAGACCACAGATTACTTTAATTTCCTTGTTTTCTCCTGTAGTCTTTTTATTTGTACATTCATTAGACTTTTTTTTCCAATGCGCCTACGTTAAAGAAGGAAACAGGAATTTACATTCTTTTTTCATTTGCATTTGTTTATACCGCGCCATATTTTCAGCTGATTAATAATTATTTAAAAAAGTCATTTTTGGGAAAAGTGCAAAGAGATTTGTAGGGATTATCAAAATTAAACTGAATTTAATCCTTCCGAACGTCATCTGTAACGTCTTTCTAGATATCAATGAATGTCAAAAAATCCTTGTGATGTAAATGCAAATTGTACCAATTCTGATGGTTCATATAATTGTACTTGTAACATGGGCTATGAGGGAAATGGTTACAACTGTACAGGTAAGATGAAGACAGACTATCGCAATTATTTGTTCTATGCACAGTCAAAATGTATTTTTATTTCCAGTATGCCTGTAAGTTGAAGATTGAAAGAGGATTTTAGATTCTTTTCATTTGGAATTGTTCACGATACCATATACTCACTTGTTAATTATTATTTGATAAATATTTTATTTTCGAGAAAAGTACAAAAAGATTTGTACAGATTATCAAAATCAAACTCAATGTTGTCCTTGCCAACGTCATCTGTACTATGTTTCTAGATATCAATGAATGTCAAACAAATCCTTGTAATGCAAATGCAAATTGTACCAACACTGAAGGTTCATATAATTGTACTTGTCACATGGGCTATGAGGGGAATGGTTACAACTGTACAGGTAACGTAAATGTTATAGAATATCCGTTTATTAAAAACTATTTGTTATGTCAATTGTAAAAAATATATTTTCCCCTTGTTTTCTTTCGCTAAGCCAAAATCTCAGTGCAGTGATATTCCAACTGCTGTTTCCAGGACAGCTACCTTGCTCACATGATTACTTTAATTCCTTTGTTTTAACTTTGGTTGTATTATTTGCACATGAATTATCCAACCTACCTAAGTTAAAGAAGGAAAGAGGATTTTACATTCTTTCATTTGTAATTGTTCACCACGCCATGCATATACTCAGCCTCTTAATAATTATCCAAAAAGATCTTGGGGAAAAGTGCAAAAAAAATTTGTACGGATTATAAGAATTAAACTTAATGTTATCCTTGCGAACGTCGTCTGTAATATATTTCTAGATATCAATGAATGTCAAACAAATCCGTGTAATGTAAATGCAAATTGCACTAATATTGATGGTTCGTATAATTGTACTTGTCGCATGGGCTATGAGGGCAATGGTTACAACTGTACAGGTAACGTAAATATTATAAATTATCCGTTTATTAAAACTATTTGTTATGTCCTTTTTAAAAATATATTTTTCCCTTGTTTTCTTTCCCTAAGCCAAAATCTCAACGCAGTGATATTCCAACTGCTGTTTCGAGGACAGCTACCTTGCTCACATGATTACTTTAATTCCTTTGTTTGATCGTGTAGTTCTATTATTTGCACATGAATTATCCAACCTACCTAAGTTAGAGAAGGAAAGAGGATTTTACACTCTTCTTTCGTTTGTATATGTTCACCATGCCATGCATATATTCAGCCTCTTAATAATTATAAAAAAAATCTTCGGGAAAAGTGCAAAAAATGTGTACAAATTATAAGAATTAAACTCAATGTAATCCTTGCGAACGTCGTCTGTAATATATTTCTAGCTATGAATAAATGTGAAACAAATCCTTGTGATGTGAATGCAAATTGTACCAATATTGATGGTTCATATAATTGTACTTGTCACATGGGCTATGAGGGCAATGGTTACAACTGCACAGGTAACGTAAAAATAGAAAAAACCGCATATTCAACATTATTTGTTTTATCCATTGTCAAGATATATTTCTCTCTGGTTCCCTATCGCAAAGCCAACATCTGAACCTGTGCGATATTTCTACTCCTGTTTCCCCGACAGTTACATAGACCACAGATTACTTTAATTTCCTTGTTTTCTCCTGTAGTCTTTTTATTTGTACATTCATTAGACTTTTTTTTCCAATGCGCCTACGTTAAAGAAGGAAACAGGAATTTACATTCTTTTTTCATTTGCATTTGTTTATACCGCGCCATATTTTCAGCTGATTAATAATTATTTAAAAAAGTCATTTTTGGGAAAAGTGCAAAGAGATTTGTAGGGATTATCAAAATTAAACTGAATTTAATCCTTCCGAACGTCATCTGTAACGTCTTTCTAGATATCAATGAATGTCAAAAAAATCCTTGTGATGTAAATGCAAATTGTACCAATTCTGATGGTTCATATAATTGTACTTGTAACATGGGCTATGAGGGAAATGGTTACAACTGTACAGGTAAGATGAAGACAGACTATCGCAATTATTTGTTATATGCACATTAAAAATGTATTTTTATTTCCAGTATGCCTGTAAGTTGAAGATTGAAAGAGGATTTTAGATTCTTTTTCATTTGGAATTGTTCACGATACCATATACTCACTTGTTAATTATTATTTGAAATATTTTATTTTCGAGAAAAGTACAAAAAGATTTGTACAGATTATCAAAATCAAACTCAATGTTGTCCTTGCCAACGTCATCTGTACTATGTTTCTAGATATCAATGAATGTCAAACAAATCCTTGTAATGCAAATGCAAATTGTACCAACACTGAAGGTTCATATAATTGTACTTGTCACATGGGCTATGAGGGGAATGGTTACAACTGTACAGGTAACGTAAATGTTATAGAATATCCGTTTATTAAAAACTATTTGTTATGTCAATTGTAAAAAATATATTTTTCCCTTGTTTTCTTTCGCTAAGCCAAAATCTCAGTGCAGTGATATTCCAACTGCTGTTTCCAGGACAGCTACCTTGCTCACATGATTACTTTAATTCCTTTGTTTTAACTTGTAGTTGTATTATTTGCACATGAATTATCCAACCTACCTAAGTTAAAGAAGGAAAGAGGATTTTACATTCTTTCATTTGTAATTGTTCACCACGCCATGCATATACTCAGCCTCTTAATAATTATCCAAAAAGATCTTGGGGAAAAGTGCAAAAAAAATTTGTACGGATTATAAGAATTAAACTTAATGTTATCCTTGCGAACGTCGTCTGTAATATATTTCTAGATATCAATGAATGTCAAACAAATCCGTGTAATGTAAATGCAAATTGCACTAATATTGATGGTTCGTATAATTGTACTTGTCGCATGGGCTATGAGGGCAATGGTTACAACTGTACAGGTAACGTAAATATTATAAATTATCCGTTTATTAAAACTATTTGTTATGTCCTTTTTAAAGAATATATTTTTCCCTTGTTTTCTTTCCCTAAGCCAAAATCTCAACGCAGTGATATTCCAACTGCTGTTTCGAGGACAGCTACCTTGCTCACATGATTACTTTAATTCCTTTGTTTGATCGTGTAGTTCTATTATTTGCACATGAATTATCCAACCTACCTAAGTTAGAGAAGGAAAGAGGATTTTACACTCTTCTTTCGTTTGTATATGTTCACCATGCCATGCATATATTCAGCCTCTTAATAATTATATAAAAAAAATCTTCGGGAAAAGTGCAAAAAAATGTGTACAGATTATAAGAATTAAACTCAATGTAATCCTTGCGAACGTCGTCTGTAATATATTTCTAGATATCAATTTATGTGAAACATATCCTTGTGATGTAAATGCAAATTGTATCAATATTGATGGTTCATATAATTGTACTTGTCACATGGGCTATGAGGGCAATGGTTACAACTGCACAGGTAACGTAAAAATAGGAATAACCGCATATTCAACATTATTTGTTTTATCCATTGTCAAGATATATTTCTCTCTGGTTCCCTATCGGAAAGCCAATATCTGAACCTGTGCGATATTTCTACTCCTGTTTCCCCGACAGTTACATAGACCACAGGATTACTTTAATTTCCTTGTTTTCTCCAGTAGTTTTATTATTTGTACATTCATTAGACTTTGTTTTCCAATGCGCCGACGTTAAAGAAGGAAAGAGGAATTTACATTCTTTTTTCATTTGCATTTGTTTATACCGCGCCATATTTTCAGCTGATTAATAATTATTTAAAAAAGTCATTTTTGGGAAAAGTGCAAAGAGATTTGTAGGGATTATCCAAATTAAACTGAATTTAATCCTCCCGAACGTCATCTGTAACATCTTTCTAGATATCAATGAATGTGAAAGAAATCCTTGTGATGTAAATGCAAATTGTACCAATTCTGATGGTTCATATAATTGTACTTGTAACATGGGCTATGAGGGCAATGGTTACAACTGTACAGGTAAGATGAACACAGAATATCGGCATAAAATTATTTGTCGCTTCCCTTCATTAGCTTCATATCTAAAAGATACCTTGTCATGACGAGCTCTGTTTTCTGTGTTCTAGATCTCGCACAAAAACAACTCAGACACAGAGTTGAAATAATTTTGGCAATGTGCGTAATTGTCTAACGCACATGCCGATTTATTAATTTTTATTTAACAACAAATTAATTATTAATCAAGAAACAATAAATTCAATTACTAAACAATTCGCACAGAAAAGGTGGGGCTAATTTAAACGCCCTACCGAATATACTAATCCCCGAGCGGGCGCTGAGCGCCAGCGAGGGTACTAATTCCGCTCGGAGATTAGGAATTACACCCGGAACCCGGTAGAACATAGGCGAATCCAAAGTTTTCCAAATTCTTTGTCATGGACGGTCGACGTTGGGTGGTTTTGTAAGTTATGCGCATGCGCTAGTAACGTCTGGTAATCAACGAACGTTCTGATTATCTAAAACAGAAAGTTTGTATTTCAATGAGAACGTCAGCAATTTAACGGTCATTTCGTAAACATTTTTGTAAAAGCGTTTCATAAACTTTGTGCAAAGAAGGTAAAACGAGATGAAACAAGATATATGATTAAGCATGACAGATAGCAAAGATGAACGTATATACATTTAAGACAAAGCCGTGTAAGAGGAATAATTCATAATCTGCAAGCTTATAAATGTTTTCAAAGACAAGGGGTACTACGTGTTTACTTTGTTTATTTCGTATTTGTTTCGCGGTAAGGATGAGCTGTATTTGTATGCTTTTCAGCTTTGTATGCTGTTTATTTGTTAAATTTTCAGCTGTCTATGCAAACGCATAAACCTGTGAAAGGCTATTACACCTTTGCTTTAACTTCAAAAAGTGTTTTTGAAAGTGTAATTTGAATTTTGGTATGAAAAATACACACAATATTCATAAAGTATAAAGCTTTTAGCCGCCGGCGTCGACTGCATGTACAGAATAAAATAACATTTGAAGTTTTTTTCTTTGTCTGTGAAGATTTTGTACTGTTTTAATCGTTTTAAACTTCGATTTTAACCGTCACCTAATTGCTGGCATGGTGTAATGCAGCAAAATTGAATGGGAAATGTCTACACTAGATTTTATGTGATTATTTTTGTATTGAATGAATGAAACATTAGCTATAATATACTTGGTAAAATATAATAAGACTGATTTGAGTCTTGTGTCATTTCATAAAATAAGTTTAGGTCAGGTTAACTCAAGAATTTTTGTACTTGGTTCAAAATAGCGAGGGGTTGATGCATGCATGTATTTCTAGTCTACCTTTACATAATTACTTTGTCGAAGCGAGGAGCAGAATGAATAGCCTTCTGAAGTGCTTACGTCACACAGTTTTCTAGCTATACAATTTTGTCCCACTTGTTTCCCAGATTGCATTGCGATTCATTGTTCGAGACCGACATGATGTAAGCACCTCAAAGGTCTATTGGCAGGACATTCTGCTCTTTATCTATACTGACCCTCATCTCCGCTCTCCCACGCGTTACCTATATGTCATCAGAATTCCAGGGAAATTACCTGCGCGTCAAACTAAAGTATTTAATCTACTTTAAGTCTCAAGTGCAGGAAGCAATAAATTCTTTATTGGTATGCCAATAATTCCTTTATCGCTTCCCTTCATTAGCTTCATATCTAAAAGATACCTTGTCATGACGAACTCTGTTTTCTGTGTTCTAGATCTCGTACAAAAACAACTCAGACACAGAGTTGGAATAATTTTGGCAATGTGCGTAATTGTCTAACGCACATGCCGATTAATTAATTTTTACTTAACAACAAATTAATTATTAATCAACAAACAATAAATTCAATTACTAAACAATTTGCACAGAAAAGGTGGGGCTAATTTAAACGCCACAAGGCTCCTTGGGTAAAGGAGACAAACCCCACCCCGTCATGACAAGGTATCCACAGACAGACTTGTAAAATCAGCAAAACAAATAATATATAAAACATGCATATAAGAAACCCACATATAAGAATCGCGGTAAGGAAAAGGTACAGACCTCCAACCAGTCGTGCCCCTGCGTTGACCGGCCGAGTATCTGCAACCGGAGTCGCTAATATGAAATGGTGACATGAGGTTGAGGAGCGCTAGCTTTACCCCTGTATCAGCATTGCGCCCGATTACCAATGAGTCACATCGTAGTTATCGTAGTTGCAACTAATGTGGTATATAACGAAATAAGTATACGAACTAAGAAGTGTGCAGTTAAGGTCAACCCCCGCCAGGCACGGCAATAAATGACTCATGTCGACATGGGATGCGACATAGGTCGCGAAGATAAGTTCGGACTACGAATGTACTTGCGGAATGCGTCGGATTTCCACCTACCCATTACTCTAATTTGGGCGTCAGAAAAACCGCATTCCGCAGCGAAAGTAGCTGCACCAATTCGAAAACTATGCCCCTTATACTTAGTAGGGTCAAGACCACATGCACGAAAAATAAATGCCAAATGCTCAGTAAATAGTCTGCGTGTTACTGCGCGCCCATCGAGAGTGCGAAATAGTGGGCCATCGGATAAACCGTGACGCGCAAAATAGTCTAGTAATGTCTGCACAGGGCAAATATCGGAACGGCGATGAAGTGTAAGAGAAACACGAGGTTGATTGTAGGAATGTTTGAAGTTCGCAAAATTGATTTTCAAACCGGAAATATTACCAAATTATCAACAAAGTGAACCACTTGAGATAATTGAAGCACGCCTGGAGACCGTGGGCAACTCGTTATTTCACCAACCCGCAAAAAGGCAAAAAAGGCTGTCGTACACATTGCCCTAAATAAAAGTGCGCGATATTCACTAGATGCAACGAGAGAAGTCTGTTGCAAAATTGTGCGGAGGATAGAAATAGTGATTGGAAGGCGTGCATCAACACCGGAGCCAAGCTTACCATATCCTTTCAACATTTCGAGAACCCAAAATACCTTTGTAGGGTCATTCACGCCCGTTAAACGGTGACAATAACCTAATGCAGAAACATGTGTATTCGCGGTCGAGGCTGCATAATGGAGCTGAAACATCAATGCGATAAATAAACCCAAGTCTGAAGACGATATGGGCAGTTTGACTGAAGCAGATTGAAAAACTGCAGATGAAAACTGATTGTAGAGTTTCCATGCCCTGCGATAGTAGGGATTGACGAAGGCTGCAAACTAGATTGAATTAACCGCGAGGTAATAGCGGCCAATTGTGTGGGAGAAGGTGAGGCGGTATGACTGTCGGTGTTGGCCGAACGCCCACCGGAGCTAGCCGTTTGAACTTCGAAACCTGCAAGCGAGATAAGGAGTCAGCCAAAACATTTGTAACCCCCGCTACATGGCGAGCGCGAAAGAGAATATTAAATTGCAAACAAGCCAGCACCAGGCGTCGAACAAACACCATAACAGTCACATCACGAGAAGTAGCCTTATTTATAATATCAACCAATGCCGCATTATCGGTGAAAAAAGTTATACGCTGGTTACGCATCTGGTCTCCCCATAGAAGAACGCTTAATACGATTGGGTAGAATTCCAAAATCGTTATGTTAAAAGTTTTCCAATTGTCGGGCCAGGCACCCTAACACGACTCAAAACCAAAAAGCGCGCCATAGCCGAGGCTAGCCGCAGAATCGTTGTACAGGTTAAGGCTAGCAGAGTCATGCCACATGTCATTGAGAAAAAAACGATCGGCCATTAAAATTGGCTAAAAATGACTGCCAAATTTCGAGATCAGCCTTTACCGATTTAGTTAGGCGAATGAAATGATGAGCACACCGTACGCCCTTAGTTAAATCAATAAGACGTCGGAGAAAGGCCCGCCCAGGGACAACGACTGAACAAGCAAAATTGAGTAAACAGGTTAAAGATTGTATCTCGCGTGATGTGACCTTTTTGCGACAAAGAAAAGCCGATATCAATATTGCTTGCATTTGTCAGTTTTATCCAAAGGTAAGCGGGCTTCCATGTGCAAAGTATCTAATTCAATGCCGGCAAAGGAAAGAATTGTTTTTTCTGGAGCGATTGGCACGCCTACGTGTTTACAGAGAGACAAAAAGCGAACAAGATCAATGCGACATTGGTGATAAGTAGGTGCGGCCATTAGATAATCATCGAGAATGTGGATTAGATGTGCGATTGACAAGTGTGTCTTAGCAACCCATTCGATAGCAGTGCTAAACATCTCGAAAGTGCGACATGACGACGCACAGCCCATAGGCATAACTCGATCATAATAATATTTGCCTTGCCAAAAAATACCCAAGAGATCGTAATCGGCGGGGCGTATGGGAATAATACGAAATGCGCTTTTGATATCTGTCTTCGCAAGAAAACAGCCGCGCCCAAGCTGCCATATCATGGAAACTGCTGCATCATCGACACGAGCATAGTTCACAGAGGTATGCTCGGGGGCAATCCCATCGTTAACAGAAGCACCGTTCAGAAATGACAAATAGTGAATCAAACGGTACTCCCCTGGAGTTTTCTTAGGAACAACGCCTAACGGAGAGACTCGAAAATTGGGAAAAGGGGGATTGTCAAAGGGCCCAGCAATGCGATTCGCCGCTAATTCTTTCGAAAGTTTAGCACTAACGATTTCCGGGTTCTGCAGGGCCGAAACGAGATTTGTTGCAAAAAACGATATACGAATGCCTTCAAAATGAAGGGGAAAACCAAATTGAAAACCATTATATAACATAGATGTCAATCGCACATATGCCTAACATCTGCCCCATGTCATTCCAATGCTACGTGCAATAACACAGATGGATCTTATATCTGCACATGTAATATACTGGGTATACCGGAGACGGGTTTAACTGCACAGGTTATACAACGGAAATAATATTTTAAAAATACTTTTTAGTTAAAAATAGCAAATGAAAATGCTGAACTGTCATTTCAGATCACAATTACAAAGCAAATATAATTGCTATAAATACACACAATGATAATTTAGCATAAACATAACCTTACTCAAGTATAAAATGTGCCTTGCCGATTTATCCCTCCATTACTACACGGTACAAAGACCTCGATTAATATAGTTTACGCAAATACAACGTTAAAGATTAGCAATGTTCGCAGTGTTCACTGGGCTCTAGTTCGCATACTAAATACTTTACATAAAGTTTCGCAATCGCACTTACACCGCCTTAGTCGCTGGCTATGTGTTCTCTTCGTTGGCCGGACCGAAGCCGGAAGCGAGTCCGCGGAGAACGAGTTCACGTGCGACCTACGCAAACACTACAAAACCGAGGCAAACGAAAAGCTCCCTGTACCTTCAGTGCTACCGTCGTTCCTACAAGAAGTCCAAAAACGACTGGATCAACTCCTTAATACGCCAATAAAAAGCGTGAGACAAACTAAGACATTGGCGTCTATGTCGATTATCTTTTATCTTGGCAGCAGCCAGCAGCATTTTGTCTCATTCCATTTCGTTTCATTTCTTAAATAACACATCAACGCATAGATATGAATTCAGAATGTGTTTTAGCTACAAAAAAAATTTACAAGTAAAAATTATTTTTACAATAATATCAAGCTATATTACAAGAATTTTTAAAAACGTTTTTAACTATTTAACCATTAACATATAAAGCTATATACTAAAATTACTTATTTGAAGTCTAATCATGCACTTAGAAAAGCTATTTCGGAACCTGTCAGTTTCATTTTAAAAGACGAACTAGAAGACGAACCATCTTACGCTTACCCAAGATCGTCTAAACACTAAACGGATGTTCCGTCTCCAGTACAATCATCGCAATATGTTCACACCACCTGAGATCATCCTGGACATGCAATCAAACCAATTATAATCGACAAGTCGTACGCCGTAACGGAGACCAAGGAATGGATGAAAAAATGATTATTGCAAAAAAAAATTCGAGATATTTCTCATTGTCTCTCAAAATCCAGATGCGGGATCACATCGATCGAGCATATAAAAATCTCCATCATCATGCAGGGAGATTTACTGAACAACTACACCATCTTTACAATTTAATTATTCGCCGAAAGCGGGATGAAAATCGTTGAATAAAACCAAGACGAAGTCAAGTTTTTTTCAGCGATATTCACCGAGCCTGAGTATTTTAAAGAAACAAGTCTGTTGTAGTAAATACAAACGTAAGCAAATACCTCGGCAGTTTTACGGCGATTCAAATGAAAAGAATGTTTTTGCAAAATAAAGTTAAAAAGTTTTCTACAAAGTACCTTTTACCTTAAAAACAATTTTATGCCTAAATTTTTCACTTCTTTTGTGCTTTCAGGTACAGTATTTTTGTAAAAATAACGTCTCTCTTTCTCTGCACTTTGGCAAAAACAACTAGCCGCCATTTTGAAAAATCCGCTTAGATGATTATGCAAGAATTTTCAATACTCACCTTTGTAATTATACCAATACCACTTAAATACTAACCATGGCCTGACCCTGATGAGTTAACTTTCTGCCCCGAATATAGGTATTCCGGTTAAGAAACTGACCGGTTTACATCGATATTTATTATTCATTACTTTTAAAGATGTTGATGAATGCGCACTTGGGAATCACACCTGTCACAGTCAGGCAACGTGCAGTAATACCAATGGGTCGTTCACTTGTACCTGCAAGGAAGGCTATACAGGAAATGGAACCACGTGTGAAGGTACGCAAATTGCAATACAACTTTGCTACCGCTGGCACATGAATTTGGCCGTTTTCTCTGGCACGAAAAGTCGCTTAGTCGCTTTTCGTTGCCCTCCTTCGGGTACTACTTGAAAACACGATAGAAAATTAGGAAAAATTATAGAAAGTCTATCTATAACTTCACTTGTTTTCACCTTCACAAACCTGCAGTTTTGGAGCATTTCATCTTCGAAAAATCAGTGAATTTGCATGTTTTGCAATACATCCACGCCATTTTGATTCAGAAAATGCTTGAGCGATACTTGGTGTAATATACAACATATGTAGCAGATTCAGCAGTTTTATACTGGTATTTAAACGAAGTTTCAGGCATTTTTACTCTCCAAGCAGGTTTCAACAAGGAAGCTTTGAGTGGAGTTTTACGAAGTTTTCACAGCTTTTCAAAACTAAATTAGTCAGAGAAGACTTAGACAATTAATCGGATAAACATCCCACAAGTTTGCTTACACGCATCAAAATCATGCAAGAGCGTTTTGTTTCTAATCAAGTTATATAATATAATTACTACAAAGAATTGCCAAAATTTAATTCTAAGAAGAAAAAGAAGTGTTGGCTTTTAGCCTGCAAAAGCGTTGCTGCAGCATGGGAGGGAGAACACGTTACAGGTTTTTCCTGGTTTTCGTGTCCGGCTCAGCAACATTAAAACATTAGGCTGATATCAACTTTGGTATGCGTGTTTAATATTTTAACATGTACTGTAGTTGTACGTTGCAAATCACGTATTAAATAGATGTTGGCGTTGGTAATTAACTTTGGCAAAAAAACTGAGAGGTTGTAAATAGTTTGGTTGAGAAAACATGTATATTTAAAAAGTAGTTAATATAAAAACAAAGGGTATGCTGGAAAAGAGTTATTTTATACATAAATTGACTAGAAACAAAACGCTCTTGGGTGATTTTGATGCGTGTAAATCAAGTTATTTTATTTGTAAATTCCAAGAGCAGAATGCCTTAAAAAAATCGCAAATTGTCGGATGTTTTTTCGATTAATTGTTGTCTTCTCTGACTAATTTAGTTTTGAAAAACTATGAAAATTTGTGAAAAACCTCGTAAAACTCCACTCAAAGCTTCCTTGTTGAAACTTGCTTGCACAGCAAAAATGCGAGAAACTTCATTTAATACTGCTGAATCTGCTATATATGTCGTATATTACACCAAGTATTCGAAACATTTCCTGAATCAAAATGGCGTCGGTGTATTGCGAAACATGCAAATTCACTGATTTTTCGAAAATGAAATGCTCAAAAACTGCAGGTTTCTGAAGTTGAAAAGAAGTGAAATTAGACTTTCTATAATTTGTCCTAATTTTCTATAGTGTTTTCAAGTAGTGCCCGGGGGGGGGAGAAACTGAACGATAATCGGCCACAGAATACGGCCTAAATTGCTAACAGTCCGTTGCTCATTTTATATCTAATTATATGAACGCAGTTTGCCAGCAAGTTTGTTGCCACGATTTGTTCCGCTATGCTGATATTTTAGTGTTCATTGACTGTGAAAACAATAAATTTCTAAAGAAATGAAAAATTATAATAGTATGAAATTTACATGGCGTATAGTACGATCGTATCGTCAAGGCTGTTTTCCACATACGCATTTTTCATACGCACATACACCCACGTAAAAGTTACCTGTTACCTTTGAAAAACTAAGTGAATAAATCAAAGGAACTTAGTTTTCTGTATAATTTACTATGCATTTGTTGACCTAGATGTTAAATAATAAAAATTTAAAAGCATTTAAAACTTTTCGTACGTGTACGTGCGTATAAAAAACGCGTAAGTGAAAAGGATGTTCAAAGGCTGTTGAAAGATTGTCAAAGCAACATTTATAATCAGGGCAGTGCAATGCGGTCGGTTTGTTTTTTTATTTTTTGTCGTCGCAAGTGTGTAATGGCGCGAAATATACTAGTATTTGAAATGTGTATGTGACCTTATTTATCTACGTCCCAGTCTTATCTCCCAAGAGTTGTGGTGCACAGCTTTGGCTGATTTTCCGATGCGCGATTCGATTTCGCTCGCATGAGACGGCAATTCCTCCAAGAGGAACAAATAAACCGTTCTTTCATGCCGTTCAATTAAGTTTAGATTTGAATTGGGGTAAGAATATATTTAATACATGTAGATTCTGGTCCTATTTTAATAATATCGCTGCTATTTCTCCGTTTAACAAGATGTGGTCATGTATGGGCGCGTTGACACGTCGTATTTTGCACAGGATTGAAGATTTAATATATCTATATAAGTGCGAATTCCAAAGGCAAAGTGTAAGACAAAGCGAGTATGTCACGCGGTTTATTTACATTTTTGAACAATTGAACTTTTATACTTTTTAAGTACGATGTGCTTCTGAATTTCGCGATCGAACATTTAGGCTCGCAAGGCATCTAAATGAATATGAACTGTATTGTTTATGTTTAGAAGCTTTATATTGAAGACTGGCACGTGCGCCGGAGTTAACGCCAGAACTGGCGTCTTGTTGTTTTAAATTTCGCGTGCTTTGTGTATCAGGAGTGGAAATTGTGCTAAATTGTCGATCACGCGACATTTTGCACTGAAAAGAAATCCACCTTAGGGGATATTTCCGATCAAAGTCTATATAGATACATTATTACAGCGAAAAGATTTTATATTGGAAACGAAATGTTGATTTTCAATACCTGTATTATTTATTAGTACCTGATGTAAGTATATCATTTCGGTCAATGGAGCTTTTTTGCATATTTAAATCGTTCATAGTCATCACCACCACTCACTTCCTTTTTCCCAAATAGTAAGAGCGATATGGCATAAAAATTGCGTTAAGAAAGTGACCGGTTTACATCAATATTTAGCTATCATTCATTACTTTTAAAGATGTTGATGAATGCACACTTGGGAATCACACCTGTCACAGTCAAGCAACGTGCAGTAATACCAATGGGTCGTTCAATTGTACCTGCAATGTAGGTTATACAGGAAATGGAACCACGTGTGAAGGTACGCAATTTGCAATACAACTTTGCTACCGTTGGCACATGAATTGCTCCAGCACCTGTTGCCCATTTATCCCCGAGCCGGTGCGGAGCACCGTGCGAGGGTACTAATTCCGCTGGGATATTTACACCCACGATGTGCAAATGCGAAATCAAAATCGTCCGCCATTATGCAATGGACCTCACGCCATGGACGGTCTTCTACGTTATGCGCGATTGATTGGTCGAGACAAAAATCTGTATTTTCAAACGTCAGTGAATAACTGTCATTTCGCAAAATTTTGATGAAATTTTTAAATTTATCGCTTCCGTTTCAACTACAAACCCTATAGGAAGTGCCGGCGGTTTCCGAGACTGGTGAGCTCTGTTTTCTGGGCAAATTAAAGGCATGCAACTGCAATAAACAATGACACTTTTTGGATAAAATAATGGCAATGTGCCAGAGCACATGCCGATTTAATTAAACCAAAAGTAACAAATTATAGCTAATTGTTACAATGTTCGTATTTTAGTACAGCACAGAAAAGGTGGGGTGATAAAAAATGCCCCCACCATCATAATTACATAGAAATTATCGTAGCTCACAACCTAGAGAAAGGGAGGGAGGGTCGGGTGAAAACTTCCGAAATTGCTTCGACAAAAACAAATATAGAATGACCTTGAGCCTTTCGGATCTCTTTATATAGGTATGCTGACTGTGCACGTGAAACATGCTCCATGCACGTGAGGGGAATATTACTTAACTGTAGCAAAGTGCGAATAGTCTTGAACTTTCTCATTCCGCTAGGAATAAATCAGGAGAGCACGTTTTCCACAACGTCACAAAGTTTCCCTGTACTCAAATCTATAGATAGGCCAGTTTACAAACGAGTTTCCCTCCATTGCTCTACGCGTGCGCTACCATATATAGCTATAACGTTATCTACAAACTACAAATAAACTAAGAATAATACACGCAAGCAATAAACTTATTATTCGCTACGGCAAATAACTCCTTTATGTTTTCATATATATGGAATATACGTATTTTTAATTAAATTAGAAGGAAACTTGAATGTGGTAAGGACTTTTCACGGTTTAACAAATAACAAGACGAAATTTTCGAGTTTCGACCGAATTCACAGTGTATAATGAAGTTGGAAGATTTTCCACTTGATAATATTTCATGCGGCACAGCTTTAAAAAGTCATTCTTTTGTGGTAAACACAACGTTAATATTTTCAAATGTATTTCACTATAAATCTGAATGTTTTATATGATATACAATATGTAATTTCATTTATAAACTTCGTTTTCATAATGAAAAAAACCGTGCAAAAACCGGTCGAAGCGTAACATAAAACTTCGGAAGTTGTATGAGACGTCTCATGTTATATTTCATGGTAATTAATAATTAAACTTTGATTCTTTAAAAATATACGGCCGTCGCGAGTTGCTATGACTACAGTGTTTCCACGTGCAGAAAAATATTTCCATACTTCTCTCAATTTCTTTTTCTCTCTATACGATGTACCCTCCAAAACCCCAACCACATAAATTTTCTAACAATCATGTTACCATCCCTATGCTTAACTGATTTCGTTCAACCGAGGCGAGGGGTTGCTGCATGCATTCATTTCTAGTTTTTATGTTATATTAACTGTTGCTCACTTTTTTCTCCTTTATTTCTCATATGCCATCCAAATTGTAATCGTAGCTCTAGAATAATGTACAGTTGCTCCAAACGTGCGAATTTTCAGTATTTATGACCTTAAAGGCTTAATTCAGTATGTTGACGAACATATATCGCAGCTATATAATATAAACTGCTTAGGAAGATAATAAGCTGTTAACAGTTAAATTTAAAATTATTATAACTGTTAAAGAGATATTAAACCGACAACAGTTGAAAAATTCAATATTCTACTAGGATTGTCAAAGCATGCAACATTTATAATCAGGGTAGTGCAATGCCGGTCGTTTATCTTCAATTTTATTATTTTCATGTTGCTGAATGCACACTTGACGATGTACACTTGGGACTCACAACTGTCACATGCAGTGCAGAAACGCTGGAAAGCAGCAGCAAATGCAGCGTTATAGTTTGTCGATTTAAAAGTAAAGGAAAAAATCCGTGGTGCGCCTCGGGCAACAGTAACCGGTTGAGAATCAGAAAAACACACTTTTTTCCTGAGATGTCAGTAAATAAGCGATTTGGTTTTATATCAGTGTCAAAATGAAAAAAAAAGGTCTCTAAGGGAGAACAAATTTTAAAACTTCACGGATTAGAATAATACAAGTATACAATGATAAAACGTTAACTTTAAAAACGATAGGAAAGCAAGTATAATGTCTACTGAGAATAAAAAACGTCAATGGCAACAGTTTACTGGATGAAATTGAGTTTTTGCTGTGTAAGATTTCCCAGGGTCGCGTTGCTAGGGAAATCATAGCAATAGACAGAGGTATAACAACTGCCTAAAATAGACAAAATACATCTCGACGTTTCAACCGAGGGCCTTCGTCAAGAGAATTAGTATGAAAAGCTAACTCTCCTGAAATACTAATACTAACTTTCCTGACGAAGGTCCTCGAGTCGAAACGTCGAGAAGTGCTTTGTCTATTTTAGGGAGTTGTTACACCACATTTGATGCCAACTTTTAGTTAATTCTGCTTTTCTACAATATTAGGCTAAATGGATTTCTAATTTCTATCTTTGCAGACATAAACGAATGCGTTGGAGCATCGCGAAAATGTTCAGGTGCAGGTCAAAAATGTGTCAACTACCCTGGAGCATTCCTTTGTTATTGTAATAGTCCAGGAGAGCAAATTATTGATGGAGAATGTACTGGTAGGTCTTGCGTACATTGAAGCATAACATCGTTGGCAACCTCAGCCAGCTCCATGTGCCTGCAATTCCTCTTAGTTTCATTACCTTATAACGAGATATGGACACCGGGGTTCTGAATGTAATACAAAAATAACCAATCTAGGTGCTACTAATTACAATTTCCGTTCATATTTCGCCCATGCGCCTAATCAACTAAAACGACCAACTAGACCATCTAATGTCAACCATACACTGTTCATAAAATTTGAATTTAAACAACTTTTGGTTCTGTGCGTTGTGCGACACAATACCCGGGTGTAATTAAAATATCTAGGCAGAATTAGTACCTCGCGTTCCGTCACGTGGTTAACGAGTATTTTCACTAGGTGCAAAATGTAACGCGATCGACTTTTTGCGATCGCTTTTCTAATGGACCTTTCCGCACGCGGCGCGTTGGTTTTGGGTAGAGAGATTTGATTGGCTAATTTTCAGTGCGGGAAAAAGTTCAGACAAGCAAACCATTAAAAACAATATATATTACAAACCAAACAATAAATATCAAGACAATAACAGATGTAACCTTGAATGTGTATAATTTGAGAAACTTTTTCCTAAACACAGGAGTAACAGCAGCGAACTACCAAAAGGCAAATTTGTTGTTGTTTGCAAAGGCAGCCCTAAAAATGAAGCTTTCAACCAAAGTTTGATTTCCAAAGATAAGCTTCACCTGAAAAATCGATTGCAAATTACCTGATGCTTTCAGTTTACAAGCGTCAGAAATGTCTGAACCTCTTGAAAATATTCCACGTTCATCGAAGATATATTCAGCTTTTTTATTTAAATCAAGCGAATACGAATAATTTGAGTTATGAGATGAAATACTTAATAAAAAGTTATATTTCGTGTAGAAATTTCGAGAGTTTAGCTTAAAGGGAAATATCTAAAAAATATTGGAAATTTCTCGAGTTTTTGCCGTTTGGTAATTGTTTTTTTTATATAAATTATACTTCCTCTGTAGTTTAAATCTTTAAATTTCCAAATAAATTGTAACTTTTCAATAGCTTTAATTTGACATACAGCCCAACATCTGACGTCAAGTATTTCAGCTCATAACTCAGAAAAACTATTTTCGCTTCAAGCTAAAATAGGGATATTTGTCAGGAGTTAGCGTTCCAGTTTACCTACAGTTTAATGAATACAATCCGTCTGACAATGGCAACCATTTTGAATTGTTGTTTTAAATTTTGCGTGCTTTGTATACATAAAAATAATAGACATAGAATGCGTACTTATCACGAATACGTGTCCCACATTTTTTCATGCTGTGCCCTTATAAATGCGCCATTTTGAATCTCGCGAGGAGTGAGAAATCTTTCAAAAAAACATTTAATTCAAAACTTTAATTTTGGGTAAAAGCATATTTTACAGTCAATTATTAGCACACAGAGGTTAAAAATGCCAAACCCAGTTCGGCGTTAAGTTGCAGAACAGAAAGAAAAACAGAAAAAGCGATAATCGAGAAAGAGTCGATTTTCACCGTTGAGCACACAACTGAAAAACCACCGGCCTATCGCCTTATATATTTATTGTTATGTAGGAAATATAGTTGGTAGAGAATAATGTTTATTGTAATAGGTTGTCAGTTACCATTGTCTAGCGAATTTTTCAACTGTGCTTTGTTTTTTGAGGATTTTCGCGTTTTTTATATGCAACAGTTTGTTTACATAAATTGTTAATTGGCTTGAACTTGATTATTTGTCCGATGACCTTGCTTTGATGCAACGATAAATGGTTAAAAACCTTTTTGTCTAGCTACGAAAAACATATCACTCTGTATAGATTTTTAACAGGTTTTCACGTAAAAACGAGCGATTTCTGCATAAATAATTGAAGCCGTGGGAAGAGAAATGACTATGACTATATTTTATTTCGCTTCTCGTGCATTTCGTGAATAAATAAGAACACATAAAACGAGTTTAATAAAATCAAAAACATCATTTAGCGTACCTCAGTACCAGAGGAGATCAAGTGTTAATTATGTACCCCACATTTTAAAAGTTATACCTTGTCTTTGTGTAGGTAATTTTCATTTTTCCCACTATAAAAGACAGCGTTATAATGTCGACAGTGAAGCAGGATTCCATTTTTTCCGTATTATGACTTATGTACGCTTGAAAAAAGATTGATCGAAAGCTAGGAACAGCTATCACACTAGCTCCATCAATCAATTCATGAAACAATGTAGTCAAAACCAAAACCAATTGATGCTCCAGTGCGTGACAAAAACAAAAATAAGCTTTTCTCTTAAACTCACTCATATTTGTATCTCGCTCGTCGCGACCGTGCACAAAAAACTCCTCGCAGGAGTCTGAGACGAGGAAAAATGCCCTTATAAATCCGCCATCTTTGGAGACAAATTTTGTAAGGGAAGAGGTATCAGTACGCATTCTATGTCTATTATTTCTATGTTTGTATATCAGGATTGAAAATTGACCTAAATTGTCGATCACGCGACATTTTGTACTGAATAGAAATCCACCTTAAGGGATTTGCGATCAAAAGTCTATATAAATACATTATGACAACGAAAAGATCTTGTATTGGAAAACGAAATGTTGATTTTACAATGCCTGTATAACTTATTAGTACCTGATGTAGGTATATCATTTCGGTCGATGTTTTAAAATTTTAATAAAGTTGGACGAGCCGCTCAAATCCCACTCCTGTTAGCCAATGATAATACAGTATTTGCCGATGATTACAAAATGTAATAATCAACGAAATGTATCATTACTGAAATAAATCGGCCAATTAGCACGCCGTAATTTCAACATTACATTAATAACATTATACAATTAAAATTTTACAGTACATGACTGTCCTACCCCACCTAAACGATCAAACAACAACTTTCATGCGTCTTCTCTTCCTCTTAGATATTGAGGCCTCTGTCGAAGGTCGATTTGTGATTATAAATTACGTCTACATCCCTGCTTATAATAATACGCAAAGTTTGGAGTACTTTCAAATTATTCAACGGTTAAAAAAGGAGGTATGTACAACTACGACATTCTGATAAATATTCATGGAATCGCTTTGTGCTTTTTGCTTCGATTTTTTGTTTTTGTATTCCATTCATCAACACTCATATACATATTCAGTAAAATTGGCAGTGGCAATGGCGTCTGAACACTTCATGTCGAAACTGTAAAAAATTAAAAATCGTTTTAGTTGAATCATCCATCATATTTCGTACCTCCAATCGTTAGTTGGACTTATATGCTTTAGTTATTTGACTAGTATATCATTATAAGTGCTGTGAATAGAAAAAGTGTTCTGAATTCGGATCATTAGCCTCTTTTCCGAAATAACACAATGTTTAAACCCATGATTGTAAGTAATCGATTATAAGGTTTACAGTGCTGGAGGTATAGCTAAGTTTGGTCCTTGCAATGCGTTTATACCAATTAAAATTTCCTGTAAAGGATGTTAAAATCAAAGAACCGACGTCATGCATGAACAACGAAATAATTATGATGTTAATAGCTACATTTGAGAAATTTCCTTTTTTAAAAAAATACTAAAAAGTTTTTTTTACTAAAATCGTCAATTTGTGAACAACACCATATAAGCAGAGCGCTTTCTATCTTTTACCCGGGCCCGTGTCAGTGCAATATTCACCATTGCACTGCATAAGCCCCAGGGTAACGGACCGAAAGCAAATTGATAATTCATCATGTATTGATTCACCATCAAAATATCAAGAATGTTATTAATATTAACAAGAATATTATTAATGTATGCATAATTATGTAAACAGTTTATATTTTGTCTTTGTATAGCTTACGTCTCTCTACACGGGAACAGCGAAGCTACGTTCTACCTTTCAGGCAGTCATCATTGTACGACTATTGTAAGTTTTAACAGCCTTTGAAATTTTCTTCAACTCTTTGTTCACGGCCGTAGCTAAAAGGTGTAAAGGTGTCACAAAAAAACACAAAATTTTGAAATCACCGGCATTTTGAATGACCCTAAATTTTTTTACAGTGGGGATTAAAGACAAGTTATTAAATTCTAGTTACAAAAATATAACGTAAAATCTGCCAGAGAAGAGGGACATGTTGAAGGTCGTAGTCATTGAGTTGTAGTCTATAAATTAATTTTTTCCATATTTTTGTATTGTAATAAATATTTTGTTAAAAAAGGTCATTTTTGGCTAGGTATTCAAACTCTAATTATTACATTGTGCGATTTCAATTTTGAGTTTTTTTGGGACTGTTTTTTTGAACGGATTTTACGTATCATAAAACATGATATCGTTGAAAAATGGGTCAACTATAGGTCCTCCGGTTCAATGCTCTTGCCACTGAGCTACAGAGGTAGCTGACAAGAGCAAGCGCAATTATGATTTTTGGCACTTCACTCGATGCAGGAAGATTTAAAAATCATAATTGATTTACCCTCACCTATTTCCGGCATTACCATCATATACACATTAACCGCGCTTGCTCTTGTCAGCTACCTCTGTAGCTCATTGACAAGAGCATTGCACCGGCATCGCAAAAGCGTAGGTTCGATTCCTGCCGGAGGACCTATGGTTGAATTTGCAGTGTGTATAATACCACTCGAAATTAAGACTCTTTAAACCTCTAGAATATTCCTGCATCGAGTGAAGTGCCAAAAATCATAATTGATTTACAATAAACTTGGTTTACTTCATATGATTTTATTCACTACAAATTTGTTTCGTATAACAAGCACTGCTTATTAGCCCTATACTTTGGTATATCGAACACTACTCATATATGATTCTAAACACATATTTGTTGAAATTGTGAATATGATTACATTTAAATTAGCCTTGTTATTGCTTCGAAAGAAAATAGTACAGCTGACCGCGGAACAACGAGTGTTTATTGTGATATTATCCCAACAGAGTTCTTAGGCATTAAACTCTAACAACTGACATTGTTATGGGTGATTTCAATAGTTTTCGGGTTTTTTGAGACACCCCGTATATTTTATGTAAGCATGGCAGCGCAACTTTAAACAAAAGAATCCAATTAATCAGTGAATGCAGGCACAAAGATATATTCTTACTAAGATTTGTAAAATAGCTTTATTATATGTGTATAGAGATTTATGCACAGCAGAATGATGAAATAAAAATCGTATTTCACTGTGCAAATTAATTTCATGCAATTTGATTGGACGTACGATGTTTTTCACGTGTGAAAAAATGCCATACACGGCTTTTGATTGGACGTACGATAGTCTTCACACGTGAAAAATTGTCGTATGTCATTTTGGCGGCAATTTGTTTACATTTTCTTTCAAGATGGCGTCGAAATATAGGAGTGATATTCAAAACATAATTCTCATATTCAAGATATTTTCACATTCAGCACATTCTTTCCGAAAGAATGTCTAACTTCTATTGAACTAAATTACAAAGAAACTGAACGATAGTAAATATGTTTTCATGCATAAAGTTTCGATTTTGTTGCTCGCTGTGTTTTGGTATATTAAAAGCGTGTCGTTGTCAAATTGATCTCTATACACATTTAATAAACAAATTACTTCATGGTTGGCTCGTTTGTACGATTTTATTATGCACTCGTTGCGAAGGATCGCAAACTCACTCGTTCGCTGCGCTCACTCGTTCGTATTGCGATCCTTCACAACTCGTGCATAAAAATCGTACGCACTCGCCAACCATGAAGTAATCTCTATTTAGCCAATTAAGACGTTTATATAGGATGTATGGATATTTTAATTTGTCAATTTTTAATACACTTTAAACGTTCGTAGTAGCGAGCCTGACGATTTTGTCCCGCTATACGTAAATTTCGAGTTATTATAATTATTCATGCATGTCTTTAGAAATTTATGGTTTTCACGCTACTGATCCCCAGTGGCGCAGCCAGCCCGACAATTTAGATGCTAATGAATTTCTAAGCAATAAGAAATAAGCAATAAATGTATAATGATAATGAATAATGAATAAAAGCAATAAATGAATAATAATAATAACATAAAATTTTCATAGCATGACTAAATCGTCAGGTCAGGCTGGCTACGCCACAGAGTATCCCGTTACCACATATTTTCGGGCAAAAATATCCTTTCGCAAATGGCGAAAAGATCACGAGTTTCAAAGTATCATTTGTAAGGAACAAAAGTTTCTGGCGGTAAACGTCAAGACACGAATCTTGCATTATATATCTAGTAAAGTCTGATTTCTCTTTTTACGATTTCAGCCCAGGATCTGTTGGTTTTGATTACGTTGCAGCATTCAATGATTCCGCTGGAATAAGCAATGAAAATATTCAAGAAGAGTTAGTCAAGTCAATGAATGTAACGCAGAACGGCACATTTCTTGGAGCAGATTTCCAAATCAGCGAGAGCACAAATCTCACTGAAGTAATAAGGCAATTTAGTGTGCAAGGTATTTAACTCCCAAATATATTAACGTTTTATCCAATATTTTCGCTAACATATAACAAAAGCATTGCTAAATGGGTTGCCGAATGAAACACCAGCTCGTTCAATAAAGGAATTTTTGTTGTCTTAAAAGACTTTCCATGCAGTAACAATCAACTACCCTCGTCCGCAGAGGCGTTTGGTCATGTAAAAGTATTAAGATTGATAGGGGGTGGCAGTCGCGGGCAGGCTCAAGTTTTAAGAAAAAAACTCTGTCATATAATCTTTCTAATATTGCTTTAAATTACAAGATATTGCGTTTCTATAGAATGATGTAATTAGGTTGAAGCAATTAGTAAGATGAATATGATACATAATTTCATATGGCTGATGTAAATTCAAAAGAAAATTTGCAGGGGCAACTGCCCCCCCGCCCCCTTTACCAGCCGGGCAATTGGGGCTAAGGTGCCCTAACACGACCTAATTTCGTTTGATCCAATTCACTTTTGACGTATGGGATGTAGCCTATTATCGATGAAGCAATACTGAATTGGCTTCAGTGTATTTGCTGCCCATATTCATTGCAAGTCAACAAACTATTAAACGACTATCAGAAGTGAATGGGATCTAACAAAATTGGATCGTGCATGTGAACAGAGCTCTAAGTAGAAATTTCACGAACGAGTATCAAGAATATCACAATAGTCTAAACACGATGACACGAGATTTAATAAGTCAGACAATGCTTTGCAAACATTCTGTATTACGCATTGCTACAGGAGTGCCTTTTTACCAAAATTTGTCCCTTTTCACCTCGCATCGTTCCGGGGTCCCTGCTCATATAGTCCAAAGTTTCAGTATTGTGGTGAGTGGAAAAAATTCAAACGGCCATTTTGCATGAACAACTAAAATACAATTCAATAATGACAACATTGTGCCTAACGTACATTTGATTATCCTGGATTCCTTGATTGTGATTTTTCCAAACACTCTACTAGTAAATTTTCACAGTCCAGGTACATACAGGCATCGAAATACTATCTCATTAGTTCACATGCAACTATACAACCAACGAGATAATTTGGAATTACAATTGTAATCTAGCCTGGTAAATAAAGCGTACAAAGTTCACGATAATTTTAAGAGCAATCGAAATATTGAAAATGAACTGTCTGCTTGAATAAGGGTTTTGTTAAACCGGGTTCTTTAGACAGACGACACGTTGCTCAGGCATTAGGGGGCATGAAACTTTGCACTATCTATGGATTCCTATAGTTTGAAAATCATGACCAAAGAGACAAAGAGTACATATAAAAGGTTTACACTGGTGAAGGAATTCCGCTCATTATTTGCTGAACTTGGTGCCGAGACAGAGAAAATAGTTTATCTTAAGAATATCACCGAGACAATATTGATTTAAAATTCTCAGAGCCAAAAATTATGGATTAGGCGCAAAATACCTTTATGTAATGTGATTTATTTCCGCATAGATATATTGCCAGCCATGAATTTTGCATACCCTTTCCGCTAGCTCAGTTTTCAGAGCATTAATAACGACACATTAAATTTTACGCCGTTTTGGGATAATATTGGCTAGGAGTGATGGTTCTCCTAGCCGCTTTATTTCTGTCAAACAAACAAAACGATATTTATTAATACATTCCCTTAAGTTTCCAAATATTCACGCTCAGAAAAGGGTAAGCGTAAGGTAAGTAGAGGCAAACTACCGCCAGTACATGTTTACATATATACACCTACTAACATCACTTATTGAGATATAACAGTCCTCTCTCTATATATATCAGCTACTGTAAATCATCCAATGTACCTAATTGTTAGTGGAGGCTTTAGGGAGGAGGTGGGTTTAACTTTAAACGAGCTCTGTCTTTTGCGATGTCACGCTTAAACTGACCGTTTGTGGCTTGGGTATTCGGTCATTGTTAGTTTTCAAATTGCTGCTGGCCATTTGCCACCTTTCCCATATTGCTTGCACTCAATTACCTGACGGTCTTTTAGATAGGGCGACAAGCCCATCATAGAAGAGTTATTATCGTCGCTAAGGCGTATCCTCTTGGGGGTACACCTTTCCTCTGTAGTCTATTTATAATCACATTACATAAATTTCTTATTTTCTTCGTAAATATTTTGTTTTTCACTAAAGCTTTTATTATTATTAATTAGCACAGGCGTGCGATGGCGACTACAATTCGGGATTAAAATACGAGTGATGTTTAAAATTTTGCTAAAATAGGACTAACCGTCCTATCCCAAACTGTACGAGCAACATTACTTGTTTATTATTATCATAAGAAAATCCTACAACTTTGGTAGCTTTGTTGTGAATTTCGTTTACCTTTTTGTCCTTTTTATTTCCTCCAGGGATGTTTAGTTTGTTTGCAAAAAACTTTCTGCCATTTTATTCATTTTACGATCGTTAAAATTAATGGGATAATACTTTTTTTTCCTCCCAGATTATGACGAGTGCAATCCACAGAATAGTATCCATACTACTGACTGTGGCAACAACGCGTTATGTATAAACACATACACAAGTTATAAATGTATTTGTCTTCCTGGATATGAAAAAAATAACACAGGCTGTACTGGTAAGCATAAACACGTTCCACTACAGGGTTCGATATTTTTTTTTATTTATTTAATTCGCCCAACAACAAAAAAATATGACATTTACAAAGAATAGATATATACAAGAAATGGGCTAGGAGCCTACTAGAAACCACATGGCTTTTGCTTTAGGCCCCTAGGTTTATTAAGCTATATCAATAAATTTAAGCTCGTGTCAGTTCAAGTGTTTTTCAGATAATAAGGAAAAGAAAAGAAGTATTTTATGATACATATAAATACATACATACATTCATACATACACATACATACACATACATACATACACATACATACATATACATAATTATATTTACAAAAACATGTTATATTGTTAAATCTAGTTGTAAAAAGTACTTTTTAATTATTGATTTGAAGGAAGCATAAGACCTAGGTTCTTTATATTTTGTGGGAAGATTATTCCATACTTCTATGCCTTTATTGGCAAGGGTATGTTTGGTATAGTTTGTTCTATTATTCTTTTTGTGTATCAATGAAGAATTTCTTGTGTTATGATTATGAATTTGCTTATTTGTCAAAAAATAGTTTATGAATACTTCTGGTAGATTCTGTAGATGAAAATACCGGAACATGAATAAACTTGTTAAATAATCATTTATTTTATATAAATTGAGTATTTGTAAGTCATTAAAAATTTGATATCTTATGCAGTGAAATCGAGACTTACCAACCTGCGTGGTATATGGTTTATACATAAGTGTTCCACGTTTTAAATATAGAAGCGTGATAGTTCACGCGATGTAAATTGGAATATTTCTTCAGTCCCTCTTGTTTCTCCAATCTTTTCATTTGCTATCCAATTACTATTCCCAGCTCGAAAATAGTGTTCTGAACCGAATGTGCGCATTCATCGAAACTACCCGTCTTCTTCGCCAAATATTCATGATTTATTACCTTTAAAGATGTTGATGAATGCGCAATTGGGAAGGACAACTGTGACAATCAAGCAACGTGTAAAAACACCAATGGGTCGTTCTCTTGTACCTGCAATGAAGGGTATACAGGAAACGGAACTATGTGCGAAGGTATGTGCTTTTTATTACTATTTTTGTTTTTCATAAAATAATTTTTTTTCATAAAAAGAAGAATTATAACTTCTACAGTCTATTTGGACGTTACTGTATGAACGCGCATTAAATATTCAATCTTTGCTACCTTAGAAGATGCTGACGAATGCAAACTTTGAACTCGTAATTAATTGTCACTGATGAGATTGTCAAAGCAACAGTCATAATTATGACAATGAAATTTGACACTGCTATATGAGCAAAATATGCACATCGAGTTATTAAACAGTGTCCGTCGTTTAATGTTCAATTGTATTACCTTTCAAGATGTTGACGAATGCACACTTGGAACTCATAATTGCGACAGTAAGGCAACGTGCAGTAATACCACCGGTTCTTTCATTTGTACCTGCAACGACGGTTATACAGGAAATGGTACTACATGCGAAAGTATGTGCTCTGCATTACTACTATTTTGTTATAGTTTTGGTCTAAATTTAAAATCTAAATTTCTGGAATCGGAATGCGAACAACACTAACAACACTGCTGCTTTGGAACACCTGTAACTATAATAATTATAAACTGCTCAGCAAGATTATTAATAACCCGTTAACAGTTAATCATTAAAGAAAACCAACTCCTTCGTTAAATATTCAATTTTATTACCTTTGAAGATGTTGACGAATGCACAGTTGGGACTCACAATTGCCACAGTCAGGCAACGTGCAATGATACCACTGGGTCGTTCAATTGTACCTGCAATAAAGGTTACACAGGAAATGGAACCATGTGTGAAGGTATGAAATTAACAATACAACTTTGCAACCACTGGCACGACAATTATGCCGTTCGTTGATCATCTTGAATACAGAGCCGTAACTAGAAGCTTAATTGCGCGCGGAATGTATATTCATATATTACACCTATTCTACACTGATTTATTTTCTACGCTATTGTTCCTATGATATATAAACGTGGATATATAAATTTATGACGGTCCCCCAATTAAACAGTCTAGCTAAGATCCTGATTTTATAAACGAAGTTTTCCATTAAATTTTCGTTATATGTATGCAAGTCAACCACATTTATTTCAGCTATAAATTTATCTTCATTTGCAATAAAGATTTATTTAATTCAAAAGAAACCTAAGATCATATAATTATTTGGAACTCGTTTTAATTACAAAAACTTTTTCAGTCCTTCTTATTTCTCAATTATTTCTCAATTGCTATCCAATTTGTAATCCCAGCTGCCCGGAATGTACGCATTCATCGAAACTGCCCGCCTTTTTTGCCAAATATTCATGATTTATTACCTTTAAAGATGTTGATGAATGCGTACTTGACACTGACAACTGTGACAATCTAGCAACGTGTAAAAACACCAATGGGTCGTTCACTTGTACCTGCAATGAAGGGTATACAGGAAACGGAACTACGTGCGAAGGTATGTACTTTTTATTACTATTTTTGTTTTTCATAAAATAATTTTTTTTCATAAAAAGAAGAATTATAACTTCTACAGTCTATTTGGACGTTACTGTATGAACGCGCATTAAATATTCAATCTTTGCTACCTTAGAAGATGCTGACGAATGCAAACTTTGAACTCGCAATTAATTGTCTCTGATGAGATTGTCAAAGCAACAGTCATAATTATGACAATGAAATTTGACACTGTTATATGAGCAAAATATGCACATCGAGTTATTAAACAGTGTCCGTCGTTTAATGTTCAATTGTATTACCTTTCAAGATGTTGACGAATGCGCACTTGGAACTCATAATTGCGACAGTAAGGCAACGTGCAGTAATACCACCGGTTCTTTCATTTGTACCTGCAACGACGGTTATACAGGAAATGGTACTACATGCGAAAGTATGTGCTCTGCATTACTACTATTTTGTTATAGTTTTGGTCTAAATTTAAAATCTAAATTTCTGGAATCGGAATGCGAACAACACTAACAACACTGCTGCTTTGGAACACCTATAACTATAATAATTATAAACTGCTCAGCAAGACTATTAATAGCCCGTTAACAGTTAATCATTAAAGAAAACCAGCTCCTTCGTTAAATATTCAATCTTTATTACCTTTGAAGATGTTGACGAATGCACAGTTGGGACTCACAATTGCCACAGTCAGGCAACGTGCAATGATACCACGGGGTCGTTCACTTGTACCTGCAATGAAGGTTATACAGGAAATGGAATCATGTGTGCAGGTATGGAATTAACAATACAACTTTGCAACCACTGGCACGACAATTATGCCGTTCGTTGATCATCTTGAATACAAAGCCGTAACTAGAAGCTTAATTGCGCGGGGAATGTATATTCATATATTACACCTATTCTACACTGATTTATTTTCTACGCTATTGTTCCTATGATATATAAACGTGGATATATAAATTTATGACGGTCCCCAATTAAACAGTCTAGCTAAGATCCTGATTTTATAAACGAAGTTTTCCAACAAATTTTCGTTATATGTATGCAAGTCAACCACATTTATTTCAGCTATAACTTTATCTTCATTTGCAATAAAGATTTATTTAATTCAAAAGAAACCTAAGATCATATAATTATTTGGAACTCGTTTTAATTACAAAAACTTTTTCAGTCCTTCTTATTTCTCAATTATTTCTCAATTGCTATCCAATTTGTAATACCAGCTGCCCCGAATGTACGCATTCATCGAAACTGCCCGCCTTTTTTGCCAAATATTCATGATTTATTACCTTTAAAGATGTTGATGAATGCGCACTTGACACTGACAACTGTGACAATCAGCACGTGTAAAAACACCAGTGGGTCGTTCACTTGTACCTGCAATGAAGGGTATACAGGAAATGGAACTACGTGCGAAGGTATGTATTTTTTATTACTATTTTTGTTTTTCATAAAATAATTTTTTTTCATAAAAAGAAGAATTATAACTTCTACAGTCTATTTGGACGTTACTGTATGAACGCGCATTAAATATTCAATCTTTGCTACCTTAGAAGATGCTGACGAATGCAAACTTTGAACTCGTAATTAATTGTCACTGATGAGATTGTCAAAGCAACAGTCATAATTATGACAATGAAATTTGACACTGTTATATGAGCAAAATATGCACATTGAGTTATTTAACAGTGTCCGTCGTTTAATGTTCAATTGTATTACCTTTCAAGATGTTGACGAATGCACACTTGGGACTCATAATTGCGACAGTAAGGCAACGTGCAGTAATACCACCGGTTCGTTCATTTGTACCTGTAACGACGGTTATACAGGAAATGGTACTACATGCGAAGGTATGTGCTTTGCATTACTATTTTGTTATAGTTTTGGTCTAAATTTAAAATCTAAATTTCTGGAATCGGAATGCGAACAACTCTAACAACACTGCTGCTTTGGAACACCTGTAACTATAATAATTATAAACTGCTCAGCAAGACTATTAATAGCCCGTTAACAGTTAATCATTAAAGAAAACCAGCTCCTTCGTTAAATATTCAATCTTTATTACCTTTGAAGATGTTGACGAATGCACAGTTGGGACTCACAATTGCCACAGTCAGGCAACGTGCAATGATACCACGGGGTCGTTCACTTGTACCTGCAATGAAGGTTATACCGGAAATGGAATCATGTGTGCAGGTATGGAATTAACAATACAACTTTGCAACCACTGGCACGACAATTATGCCGTTCGTTGATCATCTTGAATACAGAGCCGTAACTAGAAGCTTAATTGCGCGGGGAATGTATATTCATATATTACACCTATTCTACACTGATTTATTTTCTACGCTATTGTTCCTATGATATATAAACGTGGATATATAAATTTATGACGGTCCCCCAATTAAACAGTCTAGCTAAGATCCTGATTTTATAAACGAAGTTTTCCAACAAATTTTCGTTATATGTATGCAAGTCAACCACATTTATTTCAGCTATAACTTTATCTTCATTTGCAATAAAGATTTATTTAATTCAAAAGAAACCTAAGATCATATAATTATTTGGAACTCGTTTTAATTACAAAAACTTTTTCAGTCCTTCTTATTTCTCAATTATTTCTCAATTGCTATCCAATTTGTAATACCAGCTGCCCGGAATGTACGCATTCATCGAAACTGCCCGCCTTTTTTGCCAAATATTCATGATTTATTACCTTTAAAGATGTTGATGAATGTGCACTTGACACTGACAACTGTGACAATCAAGCCACGTGTAAAAACACCAGTGGGTCGTTCACTTGTACCTGCAATGAAGGGTATACAGGAAATGGAACTACGTGCGAAGGTATGTACTTTTTATTACTATTTTTGTTTTTCATAAAATAATTTTTTTTCATAAAAAGAAGAATTATAACTTCTACAGTCTATTTGGACGTTACTGTATGAACGCGCATTAAATATTCAATCTTTGCTACCTTAGAAGATGCTGACGAATGCAAACTTTGAACTCGTAATTAATTGTCACTGATGAGATTGTCAAAGCAACAGTCATAATTATGACAATGAAATTTGACACTGCTATATGAACAAAATAAGCACATCGAGTTATTAAACAGTGTCCGTCGTTTAATGTTCAATTATATTACCTTTGAAGATGTTGACGAATGCACACTTGGGACTCATAATTAATTGTCACTGATGAGATTGTCAAAGCAACAGTCATAATTATGACAATGAAATTTGACACTGTTATATGAGCAAAATATGCACATTGAGTTATTTAACAGTGTCCGTCGTTTAATGTTCAATTATATTACCTTAGAAGATGCTGACGAATGCAAACTTTGAACTCATAATTAATTGTCACTGATGAGATTGTCAAAGCAACAGTCATAATTATGACAATGAAATTTGACACTGTTATATGAGCAAAATATGCACATTGAGTTATTTAACAGTGTCCGTCGTTTAATGTTCAATTGTATTACCTTTCAAGATGTTGACGAATGCACACTTGGGACTCATAATTGCGACAGTAAAGCAAAGTGCAGTAATACCACCGGTTCGTTCATTTGTACCTGTAACGACGGTTATACAGGAAATGGTACTACATGCGAAGGTATGTGCTTTGCATTAATATTTTGTTATAGTTTTGGTCTTAATTTAAAATCTAATTTTCTGGAATCGGAATGCGAAAAACACTAACAACACTGCTGCTTTGGAACACCTATAACTATAATAATTATAAACTGCTCAGCAAGACTATTAATAGCCCGTTAACAGTTAATCATTAAAGAAAACCAGCTCCTTCGTTAAATATTCAATCTTTATTACCTTTGAAGATGTTGACGAATGCACAGTTGGGACTCACAATTGCCACAGTCAGGCAACGTGCAATGATACCACGGGGTCGTTCACTTGTACCTGCAATGAAGGTTATACAGGAAATGGAATCATGTGTGCAGGTATGGAATTAACAATACAACTTTGCAACCACTGGCACGACAATTATGCCGTTCGTTGATCATCTTGAATACAGAGCCGTAACTAGAAGCTTAATTGCGCGGGGAATGTATATTCATATATTACACCTATTCTACACTGATTTATTTTCTACGCTATTGTTCCTATGATATATAAACGTGGATATATAAATTTATGACGGTCCCCCAATTAAAAAGTCTAGCTAAGATCCTGATTTTATAAACGAAGTTTACCAACAAATTTTCGTTATATGTATGCAAGTCAACCACATTTATTTCAGCTATAACTTTATCTTCATTTGCAATAAAGATTTATTTAATTCAAAAGAAACCTAAGATCATATAATTATTTGGAACTCGTTTTAATTACAAAAACTTTTTCAGTCCTTCTTATTTCTCAACTATTTCTCAATTGCTATCCAATTTGTAATCCCAGCTGCCTCGAATGTACGCATTCATCGAAACTGCCCGCCTTTTTTGCCAAATATTCATGATTTATTACCTTTAAAGATGTTGATGAATGCGCACTTGACACTGACAACTGTGACAATCAAGCAACGTGTAAAAACACCACTGGTTCGTTTACTTGTACCTGTAATGAAGGTTATACAGGAGATGGTGTCACGTGCGAAGGTACGTACTTTGCATTCATTTAACTGCTTATGATGTAAATTCATCAGTTCTTTGGGAACAGCGTCTAAAGTTCCAAGATCCAAAGACTGGGAAAGGCACGACGAACACGCACAAAACACTGTCTTTGGCCACAAACAGGCATATATAAGCTGTTGAAGAAGACAATAATAATTATTACACAATATTGCAAATTAATTTACTATATTATGTGCACGTATCTCTAAAAAAGACGACTCGGTGGTTTAAAATTCATCATTTATTACCTTTAAAGATGTTGATGAGTGCGCTCTTGGTAGTGACAATTGTGACAATCACGCAACGTGTAAAAACACCACTGGCTCGTTCACTTGTACCTGTAATGAAGGTTATACAGGAGATGGAACCACGTGCAAAGGTACGTAGTTTGCATTACAATTTTATAATTTTGCTCTAAGTTTAAAATCTAAATTCTGGAATCGGACGAGACCACTAACAGGCATGCAAGACTGTCTTTGGCACACCTATAATTATACTATAAACTGCTCAGCAAGAAAATAACCATTAATAGTTAATCATAAAAAGCATTTATACTTCAAAAAGAGACAATTATAAATAAGTTATAGTTATTACAGTCTAATTGCACGTTATCATATAAACACACGTGCATTAAGGAAAACCAACTCAGTTGTTTAATATTCAATCTTTATTGCCTTTGAAGATGTTGACGAATGCTCACTTGGGACTCATAATTGTCACAGTCAGGCAACTTGCAGTAATACCACTGGGTCGTTCAATTGTACCTGCAATAAAGGTTATACAGGAAATGGAACCATGTGTGAAGGTATGCAATTAACAATACAACTTTGCAACCGCTCCCACAACAATTGCACCCGTTCGTTGCTCATCTTTTGTCTAAACGCTGTTTGCCAACAAATTTACATTATATGTATATGAAAGTAGTCAACATTTATTTGCGTTTAAAATATTAACAGTTAATCATAAAAGACATTTATACTTCACTGAAAGTGACAATAATGACTTATACAGTCTAATTGGACGTTATTATTGGACCAGGAACTGGTCCCTAACCGCTGCTAATCTTGTTGTTGTTGTTGTTGTTGTTGTTGTTGTTGTTGTTGTTGTTGTTGTTGTTGTTGTTGTTAGGGGGCGACGCTCTTTAAAAAAACCCTAAGGCTCTTTCATTACTTGTTTGATCGGAATGAAACTTGGCACAATTATTCTAAGCATTATTCTAAGCATTATTCCGCATCGATTGACGGAGTTCGAATTTTTACTTTTGACCTTTGAAGCAAGTTACAAGCAATTCTTGATATATTTGCAGCAAATAATATATACATATCATTAATATTCAGCCTATATACAGGGTGTCCCCAAAAAACCGAAAACTATTGAAATCCCCTAAAACAATGTAATTGTTAGAGTTTGAATGCCTAAGCACTCTGTTGGGACCCACAAGTGTGTAAATGTTTTCCATAAGCATTTTTATGCATGCATATGATGCAGTAAAATTTGCTCGTACGCAAAAATGATATTTATCAACAATACTGAAATGTGCATCTCAATCACCATGACCTTCGATATGTCCCCTTTCTCTAGCAAGACAAAGCATTTAGCATTTTACTGAGTTGCATTAAATCCCCATCGGCTAAAATTCGTGCACACGGCATTCAAATTTTAACAATGAGTGATTTCAATAGTTTTCGTTTTTTTGGGACACCCTGTATAAGTAAACGGAAACGATTAGAAATACATTGTCCTCTCCATTGTTATAAATACGATGCAGTTCAGAAATTAAACTCGGTTACGCAGTTCCTGGTCCCTATAGTACGATCGTACTTGTTTAAAGAAAACCAACTTTGATCGCCTAAAGTGCATATACCATGTTGTGGATTTTGAATATATAAATAGTTTAAGGAATTATAAAAAAAATACAATATATTTTGTTATAGAAAAATCTTGATGGATTTATTAGCCGTAAAAGTTAACAGGATATGACCTCAAATCGGGGTTTCCAAATCAGTTTTCTTTTGCATTGTTTCACCCGGCCAATAAATCCATCAAGACAAAATTTTTCAAAAATAACAAAATGTATTGCAAAGTTTTTTAAAATAATTTGAACTTTTGATGTATTCAAAATCTACAACAATGGTATGGGCAATTTAATATTCATAATTTATTATTTGGCTGTTAAAAATCATCCATTCTGATTGGTTGACGAGCGTTCCGTAAAACCCATATCCGAACCGTGGTCCGTATATTCCGTACCAGGACTAGTTCAGCCATATAATAAACAGATTATTGAGCTCGCTTGTTCAATGTGTGCTGTCAAAGTTCAGACCGAGGTTTTTGCATAGAATATTCATTGACTATTTACGTTTAAGATGTTGAAACTTAATCGTGAGAGGCATTTATACTTCTCTAAAAGTAACATTTATAACTACAGCCTAATTGGACGTTATTATATGAACATGCATTAAAGAAAACCAACTCGGTTGTTTAATATTCATGATTTATTACCTTTGAAGATGTGGACGAATGCACACTTAAAACGCATAATTGTCACAGCCAAGCAACGTGTAAAAACACCGCTGGTTCGTTCAATTGTACCTGTAATGAAGGTTATACAGGAGATGGAACCACGTGCAAAGGTACGTAGTTTGCATTACAATTTCGTCATAATTTTGCTCTAAATTCAAAATCTAAAATTCTGGAATCGGCCGAGACCACTAACAGGTTTGCAACACTGTCTTTGGCACACCTATAATTATACAAAAACTGCTCAGCAAGATAATAACCATTAATAGTTAATCATAAAAAGCATTTATACTTCAAAAAGTTACAATTATAAATTAATTATAATGTCTAATTGGACGTTATTATATGAACGCACGTGAATTAAGGTAAACTAACTCGGTCGTTTAATATTCAATCTTTATTGCCGTTGAAGATGTTGACGAATGCACACTTGGGACTCATAATTGTCACAGTCAGGCAACTTGCAGTAATACCACTGGGTCGTTCAATTGTACCTGCAATAAAGGTTATAAAGGAAATGGAACCATGTGTGAAGGTATGCAATTAACAATACAACTTTGCAACCGCTCCCACAACATGCAATTGCACCCGTTCGTTGCTCATCTATTGTCTAAACGCGGTTTGCCAACAAATTTAAATTATATGTGTGCAAGTCGTCAACATTTACTGTATTTCCGTTTAAAATATTAACAGTTAATCATAAAAGACATTTATACTTCACTGAAAGTGACAATAACGACTTATACAGTCTAATTGGACGTTACTATTTAAAAAAAAACAACTTTGATTGCTTAAAGTGCATATACCATGCATGTTGTGGATTTTCAATATATAAATAGTTTAAGGCATTATAAAAAAAATACAATACATTTTGTCATAGAAAAATCTTGATGGATTTATTAGCCGTAAAAGTTAACCAGACATGACCTCAAATCAGGAATTGCAAATCAGTTTTCTTTTGTTTCATCGATTTGAACCCACATCCGGCAAATGTAAGGGTTAAAGTGCCTATATCACTTGCGGGATCTTTACGGAATTGTATAGAGCTTTAAAAATTACTTTATAAGTTCTACCACCCTTTTTGATATAATTAAATAGTTTCGAGAATATGTCGGTTGGGGGGACTGGGACTCAGAAATGATTTGCAAACACGCCGTCTTTTATAATGTCAACATGAAGAGTTTCACTGGCGATATAGTTTGCGCTTTTCAAGAAAAAAATGCGAGAACGGTGCGTTGTGTATGGCTCTAGCAACTGGGCGAGTTTTTCCCAAAATATTTACGCTATTGGAAGATCAAAGTAAAATTATAATTGATTATATTATTTTTGACAAGAACTCGGTTTCCTGAGTCCCAGGCCCCAGACTACGACGGAAATTTAGGCAAATCGTCATGTTTAGATAAGAATATTTCCGAAACTATTTAATTATATTAAAAAGGGTTGTAGAACTTATAAACGAATTTTTCAAGCTCTATTCAAATCCGTAAAGATCCCATGCACAAGTGATATAGGCACTTTAATAAATCCATCAAGACAATTTTTTTCAATTAAAACAAAATGTATTGCAATGTTTTTTGAAATAACTTGAACTTTTGATGTATTCAAAATCTACAACAATGGTATGGGCAGTTTAATATTCATAATTTATTTTTGGCTGTTAAAAATCGTCCATTCTGATTGGTTGACGAGCGTTCCGTAAAACCCATATCCGGACCGTGGTCCGTATATTCCGTACCAGGACCAGTTCAGCCGTATAATAAACAGATTATTGAGCTCGCTTGTTCAATCTGTGCTGTGAAATTTTAGACCGAGGTTTTTGCATAGATTATTCATTGTCTATTTACGTTTAAGATGTTAAAAGTTAATCATAAGAGGCATTTATACTTCATTAAAAGTAACAATTATAACTACAGTCTAAATGGACGTTATTATATAAACATTCATTAAAGAAAATCAACTCGTACTATGTTTAATATTCATGATTTATTACCTTTGAAGATGTGGACGAATGCACACTTAATACGCATAATTGTCACAGCCAAGCAACGTGTAAAAACACCGCTGGCTCGTTCAATTGTACCTGCCATGAAGGTTTTACAGGAGATGGAACCACGTGCAAAGGTACGTAGTTTTCATTAAAATTTCGTCATAATTTTGCTCTAAATTTAAAATCTAAAATTCTGGAATCGGACGAGACCACGAACAGGCATGCAAGACTGTCTTTGGCACACCTATAATTATACTATAAACTGCTCAGCAAGATAATAACCATTAATAGTTAATCATAAAAAGCATTTATACTTCATAAAGTGACAATTATAAATTAATTATAATGTCTAACTGGACGTTATTATATGAACGCACGTGCATTAAGGAAAACCAACTCGGTCGTTTAATATTCAATCTTTATTGCCTTTCAAGATGTTGACGAATGCACAGTTGGGGCTCATAATTGTCACAGTCAGGCAACGTGCAGTAATACCACTGGGTCGTTCAATTGTACCTGCAATGAAGGTTATACAGGAAATGGAACCATGTGTGAAGGTATGCAATTAACAATACAACTTTGCAACCGCTCCCACAACAATTGCACCCGTTCGTTGCTCATCTATTGTCTAAACGCAGTTTGCCAACAAATTTACATTATATTTATCAAGTCATCAACATTTATTTCAGATAATTTATTTGCAACAATATTTCCTGATAATTATTCCTTATTTATTTCCGCTTAAAATGTTCACAGTTAATCATAAACGACATTTATACTTCACTGAAAGTGACAATAATGACTTATACAGTCTAATTGGACGTTATTATTTAAAGAAAACCAACTCGATCGCTTAAAGTGTCTATAACATTTTGTGGATTTTGAATATGTAAAACGTTTAAGGCATTATAAAAAAGATACAATACGTTTTGTTATAGAAAAATCTTGATGGATTTATGAACCTTTAAAGTTACTGGACAAGACCTCAAATAGGGAATTGCAAATCAATTTTCTTTTGTTTAACCGAGTTGACCCCAGGTCTTTAAAGGCTAATAAACCCATCAAGACGACTAACAGGCATGCAAAACTGTCTTTGGCACACCTATAATTATACTATAGACTGCTCAGCAATATAATAACCATTAATAGTTAATCATAAAAGGCATTCATACTTCATAAAGTGACAATTATAGATAAACAGTCTAATTGGACTTTAGTATATGAAAATACAATAAAAAAACAACTCGAATGTTAATATTCATGATTTATTACCTTTGAAGATGTGGACGAATGCATACTTAGAACGCATAATTGTCACAGCCAAGCAACGTGTAAAAACACCATTGGTTGGTTCACTTGTACCTGCAATGAAGGTTATACAGGAAATGGAGCTACATGCGAAGGTATTTTTCATTGCAACTTTGCTAATGCTACTGCGACCATTGCTCGCGTTGGCTGCTGATCATTTGTGAATCCTGGTGGCACCGTCTTCAATTTACGGAGCATTAATCCACCGGCTATAAATACGCTTTTAATAAATACGCTTGAATTTACCGGGTATTAAAAGCTTCATGTAACTTTTATTTATCAGGAACCATAGTTATGACCACGCCTTTGCACAGTCTAGTCTTGCATTGTATACTCTTGAAAATGCCGCATTAGTTTGTCGATTTGAAAGTAAAGCATTTTTCAGGCAAACCTCATCACTTTAAGAACAAATTGCTTGTTTTTTTTTCGCATATATAGTGTTTGCTTCACAACTAAATCATTCATGGGATTATCCAAAACGATTTTGATATCATGATCTGGTTAAACCTTTCGTATATATAAAAAGGCATTATACCCTAGCCGGCTGAACAATGAATTAGTTAAAGAAGTAGTAAAATTTTAATTTTATGTCCAGACTCATCTCTTTCCACAATAATGGGGTGTTGTTCCAGTTCAACAGGATATGGTGGGAAGACTGCCTCGTGCATGTGTTGAGGAAGAATGTTTTGTATCTTTGCCCCTGACTCGTGAAAGTAAAACTTGAAATCCGTCTGATTTAACTAAGGTGGTTCCAAATTTAAAACGATAATGTTGTGACGTAATTACCGATTGGATTTCCCATTTCTATCTTTGCAGACATAAACGAATGTGTTGGAGCATCGCGAAAATGTTCAGGTGCAGGTCAAGAATGTTTCAACTTTCCTGGAGCATACCGTTGTAATTGTATGAGTCCAAGACAGCAAATT